CTTCCAAATCTTCATTTCCTGAAGCAGATAGTTACAGCCACTATAGTGGTAAAATATGTCTCAAATGCCTGCCCATGTATTTCCTGGAAGGTTAACATGGTCATCGTCTTCAGTATTTAGCTGTATTTGAATTTTGCCCATAGATATTTGCTACAGTTGATGGTCTATCAAAAATTTTGCTGACTGCTGGTTCATTCCAATTTTTCTCATAAAGAAGAAAAAAAATCTGTGACGGTAGCATCAGAAAATTTTAAAATAATACAAACAACAATTGGCAGTACAGAACAATCAAATAATCATGATTTACTTTGCAATTTGTTCTAACATCACCATTCTGTGGTAGGATATTTGGAAACTTTAAAGAGTTTTGGGTGTGAGAAACTACTGGGAACACTTAATATGCAGAATTACTATATTTCTGAGTTATTTCAGATGTAACTTCTGTAGTATATAAGCACTGAGCTTGTACCACAGAATCTCACTGAACCCGATAAAATTAATCCCCATTGATTTCAACATATTCATTAGCTAGTCCCTGTAGCTAGCTACTTAAAACACAACAAAGTAATTATACAAGTTGAACCTCAAAGTTAAAGTCCAAAGAAAACAATGCTGTTAGTTGCTACCTAATCCTGAAGACCCCTAAGCATCCTAACTTTTGGCTTCAGCCTCTGGTGCATTATTGTAGACCTCAAGAGGTTGTACCTGTAAACAATAATTTTCTCTAGAAGTAAAAAAAAAAAAAAAAGTAGAAATCAGACATGTTTGGCAACACTGACAAATGAAAATATAAACCGATATAAAATAGATTATAAATAAGGATAGTTAATGTACAGTACTTGCAAATTGCTATCCAAATGGTTCTTGTTACGTCCGTTTCTATGACATGCTACTGCAGCATTACAAAAATCTGACTTAATCTCAGGGGTTATTTTATTCTACAGTATTTATTTCTGTACTGCATGTGGAGACAGGTTATTTACAAAGAATAGTTAGTTTTGGCACATAAAATACTCAAGCAAACAAAGATTCCTGGAATTAGAAAGAAAACTTCCAGTAAAATGAAGACTGAACTCTCAAAAGTTCAAATGATACCTAAACTAAACATTACTAATCTTCAGAGATTACATGTTACTATCTTTACTTCTTGTTTTTCAAGTGCAGTGGTAGTAGATTGTTTAAAATCACACTTCTGTTCTCCGTAAGTTTGTAATAAATTTTCTGATACTACTTCTGGTTTAGCAGACCCATGGTTTGGGTTTCTGTGGGTGTTTTTAGTAATATTAAGTCTTCTCTCCATTAAACCAATTGTTTTGTTGTAACTGCTCACTTAGATCCACTATGAAAGACAGCCTTGCTGAATTTACAGGAAACCTAAAATTGGTATAGAAGGTGCTGACTTGGGCCCTATGTTTTAATTAGGTGTTTTCTGTGTATTTATTATTACAGTGGTTTATTTTCTTCACAAGAACAAGTTGGTGTGAGCATTGCCTTTGCTGAACATTCCTTTCTTGCTTGAAATCATTATGTTTGTCCAGGGATGATGAAGTAAATTATTGTTTCTTCATGGGATGAAAGAGGAGGAGGAAGCAAACAAGAACAAGGAGATAAAAATACCACCATAAAATATCAAAACAGCCAAAAGATGAAGTTACTGCATATTTCATTATGTCAGGAAATACAAGAAAGCAGACAAGAACATATGCTGTTTGTATCAGTATGTGCAGTATTTATGCATCTTTTAAAAATAATGCTTAACACTTAATTTACAAGAAAAAAAGAAGTCGATACTACTATTCATATAAAGAATTAGGTTATATTAAAAGATGTCAATAAATTGTGGGGAATGAAGTAACTAATCCATGTGGACTTGGCTTCATGGACAGCGAATAAGTTTCCACTGCACTCTCTATGCAGTGTAATCAGGTAATCCAAATACATGGGAACGTGCTATAGATTCTGAGTAATGTTTCTTTAGAGGCACTGGTGGTGAGATTGAAGTATAATATTCTTGGGGGAGGAGTAAAAGAGGTAATATTTCATTTGGTAATTAGACTTCCATGAAGTTGTCTCTTGAAAGTCAGGTTTTTCTGCAGTTTTGTGATCTCTGGCTCTAGTAAAAACAAAAGGCAGAGCAGCAAAACACCCAGTAAAATTCAGACTTGGTAACCTAATTTTGGATTTTTCATTCCTTTGTTTTCAGAGTTAGGGCTTCAATTACAATTTGGTAGAACTGCAAATGAGGTGCAAGTAATTTTGAGGAAAAAAATCAATTTGTTCAACAATTTGTTAGAAGAGCTGAATTTCTGCTTCAGCAAAGAAGAAATAGCTCCCATGTCTTACTGACTTTAATATTGTTAACTAAATATGAGAAGCTCTGGCTCATGCCCACTGAGTTCAACAAGAAACAGCTTGAATCCACAGCATTTTGGATCAGGCACAAAATTATTTTGATGACTTCAAGGAATAGAAATATATAGGACTATAAGGGAGTACAGCTGATAAAATGAAATCTTGGTCTCACTGAACTCAGTGGGAATTTTATTGTTCACTTAGAAAAGGCTGAAATGGTTCATGATATATTAACTTATTTCAGTTAAGCCAAAGTATGATTGGGTGGGCTGGCTACGGAAAGCTCATGAAGAATAATAATAATAAAGAAAGTATCTCCTTCATCAAGACTTGAGTTTTCCTACCAGAAAGCTATTAAAATTTTTTTTAAGGTTTTACAAAAAGGACAAAAAGTGAAGAAACAATTCTCCTTCCTTGAAAATGTAAAAAACCCCTAGAGTACCCTAGAGTACATTTTATTTACATTTTAATCCATCCTATCGGATACAAAGGGTAAAATTGACCCTTTTGCATAGGCAAACACCAAGCAATTTCACAGGCACCAGCATCAGAAAAAATACATTTCTACCAATGATAGGATCATGCATTATGCTTCAATGCAAATCCATCTGCAGATATTTAACACACTTAGTGGAGTGGTGTAATAGTCCTGTTACATGGGAGCCATATTACTGGCTTAGTGTAATTGCTGCTTTCCTGGCCCTTGTGACCTTAATTCCTGATGTCAAGGTTAGTTGTTTTAGAGATGTATCCGCAAAAGACAACTAAAGAGAAGAAAATGCACCAAAGTGATCAGGAATAATAACAGTGAAGAATTAAAAATCCATCACCATTGTGCTTTTAAAATTACGTATAACTTATGTGAATAACGATACTAAAATAGCTTCTTTTTCCATACTTGGATGTCTCTGCGGTATACTCCATTATTTCAAATTAATACTGGAAAAAGATTTAGCTGAAAAACTTCCTTGTCTGAGGTGAAAAGAAAGCTTCATTAGAATAATTCCTTACAGTCCTTCTGTTAATATTTTCAGGGACAAAAATATAATTATCCTTTTTGTAAAAAAAAAAATTAATAAAAAAAAAAAGAAAAACTGGAAACAGTGAAATTATAGAAGATCTAGATTACAACTCCAGTGAAAAATGTGGGACAAATTGGATAGGAATATAAAAATATCAGTTCTGACTGAAGTATGAAACTTAGGCAAACAATGGGGGAAAAAACCCCCACCCTTTTTAGAACATTTTGAGATGTGTGAAAACTACAAATGCTAGAACTGTGAAAAGGAAACTGGGAATTTGATCCATATGTTCTGGAAATGCCACTGCCCACAACTAAATTATTTTTGGAGAACAGAACAGAGAACAGAAGAACAACTGCTAATGCTGTTATAAACACAGGGTCTCCCTGGTGATGCAGAGATCTTACCATGGCAGATATTAATAAGTGACTATTACCATCTGGATACCATATATGAAGAAATCATCTTTGGTATGTTCTAGAATAATTACTAAGGAATACAATATTATTTATCAATTATCTTTCTAATTCTCTGAGGAGAAATCATTCTGCTAACTCCAAGGGGAAAAACACTATTCAGGGTGGCTCACACATTGATTTTCTTCATATAGGTGAATAGAATTTAAAAGCCTGAACTGATCTAAGTAATTCTACTGTATTACGGAAGATCGTATTTTAAGCTTGGGAAGCTCTTTATCATGGTATATTTTTTCAAAGTGAAATATTTTTAAAAACTGCAACATATGAAATAGCAGTAAGACCTGTGGACAGATTCTGCCTGCTTCTCAAAACCAAAAGCACATCATGCTGATTACAAGGGAAATAATTACCAATTAACTTGGGCTACCATTTACTTGTTCACAGGAATGTGTGGGTGGAAGGAGTGAACTTCATTCTTCCTGCTATCAAAGACAACTAAGCCTTATATTTCTATTCTGTACTTTTAGCAAGTAAAACCTTCATACAGGTTGGCATCTTCCACTTTCTACCTGAAGGCTGACCCTGGACACTTACTCCTCTGACGATTCGATAGCCTGCAATTCTCACATTCAGTTTATTCTGGATAGTCAGTACCCATTTGTACCAACATTATCCTTCTAGTATGCGACACATACTCATAACTAGTCCATGCTAGTAACTCTTGCCACAGAAAGGGGTAGAGACCAACATAAAGATTTAAAGAAAGGAGTATGTACATTTTCTTGGCCATACCAGCGAACTCTCCTTGAAAAAGTTAAAAAATGTTTATAAAAAATTCTAAATGGTGGCAACTATATACCATGTGTTTTGTTCTGGTTTAGAAAGGAATTGCATCAATCCATGGTGTTCTATATACCACCCCTCCCTCACAACAGCCAGTAAGCAAAACCTAGCAACAAAGTTGTGACTATCATATTGAAATAATCAAAAAATGAGTTTCTTTCATTACAAATGACATTTGAAAATTATATTAACGCCACACTTCCGGTTTGATACTAATTTTTACTCTTCTTTGAAAAAATGTCTTTGCTAAGCAATTTATGAATTCTGAAAATACATACTTTTCTGCACATATAATCATCGAAGTTGAACTGACCCTAAGTACAGTTTTTATTTTTCGTGTCTCTATTCATTCTCTTCTACATAGTATTTGTGGAATTCAGCATCTGGAACGAGCAGGAAACAGGTTGACTCTCTTTGACTCCCTTTATTTCTGCATAGTGACATTTTCCACTGTGGGCTTTGGGGATGTTACACCCAAGATATGGCCTTCAAAGCTGCTTGTTGTCATTATGATCTGTGTTGCTCTTGTGGTGTTGCCTATACAGGTAAATACGGATTTTTCTTCTCTTTAGAATTGTTTTTAAAACAAAATAATAATAACTGAAATAGTTTATTGTTACTATTATTATTGCATATAAAATGTCAGAAAAAATAACCATCTTCTATACCTCCTATTCTGTTTTTTTTTTCTTCCTTTTTCCTTGGTCTGTTCTCCTGTAGTCTAGATTTATACTAAAAAACAGAGCACTAATAACAGTTTTCAAGTGCTGGTGAAAGCTTTCTGTTCCTGTCATGTACCACATAGCCCTTCCTTCATCCTGAGATATAGGTTTGTTATTAATGGAGCAATTTAAAACAAAACAAAACAAAACACCAGTAGCCAGCACTTTCTTTATGAGTATAGCATTTCCTCTGCAGGCTCTCCCTGTTTCTAATCTTGGTTCTCTCCACTTCCTCTCTTACTCTTACAGCTCAGTGCTAACTTGAAAAAAATCTCATTAAATTTGCAACTCAAGCAAACTGGGTTCACAGCTATGTATGTCGGTACATGTAGACACACATAGAGCCAACAGCACAGTTGGGAATTTTTGATGCCTACTTAAGTTTAGGACTTCTAACAGTTTCAACAGGAAAAGGCCGATTTATGAAAATCCAAGTATTTCAAGGAGTCAGTCAGTTTCATTAAATCTGTACCAGACGTTTCCCAGCTCATTAGGTGATGTTTGATGACAGAAACCCTGAGATTACATGGGAAGCCCTGCCAAGATGTTAACTGTTCCACAATTGGTGATTGCCCAGACCTCATGCCACAAAAAGGGGATGTGGGGAGACATTGTGCATGTTTATCAAATCTTATAGTAGACCTGCTAGACCATGAAGCTCCAAAGTTTCTCACACAGCCATAGTTTCCAAACTCTGCTTCTTTGAAAGTGAACTAAAGCTGACTGTGAGCAGAGAACCCTGGGAGGTTGGAAGCTCAAGCTTTCAGTGTTAATTTTCTTGAAATTATTTTAATGTTTTAATTATACCTAAATATTTAGTGTCTGCATACACCGACATAAGCACAATTATATTCCCACTCTGGAAATTTAGTGAAATATATATTCTATTGAAAACTAAAATATGCTTTGTTTAAGAAATTTGGAACTTCCTAGGAAATAGAAATTTCATCTTTCAGGTAGTTCTGATACACACTTCAGGCATAAGAGCTCTACTGCCCTTTCACATAAATTTACCTATTATTAGCTACTTTATTTTATAGCTTTGTAGTGATAATGGGCCTTCGTATAGGTTTCCATACACAATATGTGGGAGACATTCCCTCCTGAGCTTTTGTTCTGCTATGATATGAAATCAATTATTATTCATGATTCAGTCTCTCCATCAGTTGAATGTGGATGAGAAAAAGCAGCTATCACACAGATTCATACTGTACAATATTGTACTGTACTGTACAATACTCAAATTGAGCTCAGTATTAAATGTGTATTACAAGAAGCTTGAAATGGTGTTTGTATGTTTTATTACAGATTGTTACAAAGGCAGGAATTGTTACAGTATTCTCTTTAGTCTAAAGGATTCAGACTAGTAGAGCAATGTTTACTGTTAGCCTGCATATATTGTTCAGCTGGCAAAGGCAAATTTGCTGTATTAACAGCTGCTGTGTATTTAAGTTGTATTTAAATTTATAAGACAGATAAGAGAGTATACAAAAGGTCATCTTCAGAACATTACAAAATGTGAGAAGAGTTATTGCCCAAACGACGTAAAATGGTGCTTCTATCCAAGTATCTATACTCACAGTATACACTTAAGTGTGTGAAAATTTATTTGAGGGAAGCATTTATTTCACAAGGCACTGGAAAAAGAGAGCTTAGAGGTATAAAATACATAAAGAAATAAGGTACAGCCTTCATTCTTTTCTAAAATCTTGAGATTTACTGTAATCTCATAATATTTTAATGGATTTACCCTGCTATTTGTGTGTGGTAGAGAATGGCTCTACTGCCATGTTTTTCAATCAGCCTATTATTCATCTCAACCACTTACTAGAGAACTTTTTACAAAGAAAAAGACGTTGTGAGCTAAGGACATCTTTTCATAGAGGCATGAGATGAACGATGCAACATTGTTAAGTCATGATACAGTTGTACTGCACATCTGCTTGTCTATATTTCACTGATAATTGGCATCTCTTGCAGTTTGAACAGCTGGCATATTTGTGGATGGAGAGACAAAAGTCTGGTGGTAACTACAGTCGACACAGAGCTCAGACAGAAAAACACGTTGTGCTGTGTGTTAGCTCTCTGAAGATTGACTTACTTATGGATTTCTTAAATGAATTCTATGCTCACCCCAGATTGCAGGTACTTACAGAAAAAAAAAAAGAAAATAAACTCAAGACTGATTTTTTGCAGACAGCCTTCTGAAATGGTCTTTAATTTGTAAAACTGAACTTGGGAACAGCTGACTAATTGGGAATCTAAAATTGCAATAAGAAGCTGAGATACAGTATGGAGACATTCATTTTAAATTGAGGTAAACAGACCAAATAGATAGAATTACTGTCTTGTTAAATTATGCCAGTCCTTTTAGAAACAGATAGATATTTCCATGCAAATTCCTTATATTCTACCCCAAAATAGAAAATAAATGAAAACTACTCAAATCATTTTTTTCTTTTGTTTTGGGAATGGATCCAAAACTCCTCACAAGTCAAAGCATCTTTTGGTTTTCGCATTTTGCTTTGTTTTTTGCCAGTGTTAGGAAGATTAGATCCTTCTAGAATTGTTGAAATTAAGAAACAAACAGACGTACTTTAAAGGACAAAGACCTTGAGAAATTACACACAAGAGATTTTCTTAGTGTACACGTATTCCCTAGCTAATGCAAACAGATGTCATATGACTTGTTTTGATCATATAAAAGCTTATTTATATGAGATAGCAATTTGGATTCATTATCATTAGCTTTGCTACACACCATTTCTTTTACTAAATCTTCTCTATGTCTTTTACTAAGTTACCTGTGGTACCATGCTTCATTAACTAGTGCAAAAAAAAAAAATCACAAAAATATAATCCTCAAATTGCTGAGCAGCAATTTGACTAATCCCAAATCCAAAATATTCCCCAAAATAATTAGCTAGTAAGAGGCATAAGCAAATGCACAAAGAAATCCAGTTCTTTATAGATACAAACACAAATTGAAATCCAAAATTTAGTTAACTAGCCTGAAGAATGAGTCAGGCTCTGCGATACACTGGAGATAAAGAAGAAGAGTCCTAATACTACTTATGTAGCCTAAAAGAGCTTATATACATTCCTTTCACAATTGAAATGGGAAGCTGGGGGATACAGATGATGCACTGGATCCAACGCACTAAGCTTTCTGCAAAAGTCTGTGTATGCTAATGAAGATTTCTATGTCAAGCCTGTCCTAAGCTCTCAGTCTCTCCTCTCACATTCCATTTCTCTCTCCTTTTCATATGTACACACATGTATACTTCAGAGCAACCTTACTTTTCCTAACAAGGACTGTCTGTAGCACAGGAAACAGAGTTTGTATCTGCCCATTAATGTAGAGGAAAAAATTTGAGGGAAGACAATTCCATTTCAATTGTTGAAAACTTCCTACATTTTCCTACAGAAATGTAACTTGTCTCTAAAAAAAATTATGCTCATATGGAAAAAAAAATGTTTCTAAATGGACTTTAGTTGCCACCCTGGAGTCTTTTGTGAGCAGTTGACAACTGCCCAGCCATTTTTATTAAAGAATTCAATATTTTGGACACATGTATTCAAATAACTTTTGTCAATGAAATTTGAGAATTATCAGAGAGATTTTTGACATCCTGAGTCTTTGTTGACTCATTCTCTAGCAACAATAAATGGTAACATTAAAAAAAAAAACAAAACATGACTATTCCCCTTTATGTTTTTGACAGGACTATTACGTCGTTATTTTGTGTCCTACTGAGATGGATGCTCAGGTCCGAAGGGTGTTACAAATCCCAATGTGGTCCCAAAGAGTTATCTATCTGCAAGGCTCAGCACTAAAAGATCAAGACCTATTGAGAGCTAAGTAGGCAAATATTGACCAATATTGTTTTTTACTTTTGTTTCACTCATACTGTTTGATAAATAAGTTTGACAAACAACAAAAACTGTGTTAGAAGGAAAGCATATGTATTTAGAAAGCAAGGCTCTTTGATATAATTTGTTTTTCTTAATATTTGAATTTTTTCAAGGAACAAATACTTGTAAGCTCTTTCATTTGACCAAATTTTTCTTCACTGTCTTTTCTGTCTCAGTTTTTAAAGGTATTGAAACAGAGTGCCTGTGATTTCTTCTGAAAAAGCAGCACAGAAAATTCCAAAACTGCCAGAATTTTTTTCTGTTCCTTGAGCAAAGATGGTAAATGTGATGGTAGTTCTCCTGACCAACTGAAGGGGGAAAAAAGTAAACAAAAATAATTACCACTCTTTGAACCCATTGCACAGTTTTGTTTTCTTCCTAAGTTCAGCCTGGTAGCATAAGCAGTTACTCTACTATACCTCCACATATTCTTCTTTCAGGGCCTTCCTCTTACCACGTACTTCCACCACTTCTAAAAATCCTCTCTGACAGTTAATAGTGAATGACATTAATCAAAATACATCAGTCAAACACAGTTCCTCAACCCCCCCTATTGCTCAATGACTTGAAGGTGTGAAGGAATTCACAGTGGAATTCACTTAGGAGGATCATCTCTCTAAACTCTCTAAGGAGAGAGAAAGGCGATTCTTAGCAAATAACTGATTTAACTTATCTGCATTGCTTTTTATAAGAACTTATCCAGCAACTAATATAGATATCTAAAATTAAGCCAATACTTGTTGGAGTATTTGTGTCATTCAGCCTTCTTTATACCAGGGGAGTTATTTCCAAGAATCTAATCTGTGAGAAGTCTAGTGAGCAGTGTTATCTTCTCAGATTTCTGCCACTGAAAAAACAACTACTTCTATATTGGTTTAAAATTTGATGATACAATAAAGCTTTCTTCAGGATTAGGAATTTTCTTCGAGAGAGAGGTTCCTTTTTTTGCTTTCTTGCTGATTTCAGGAAGGAACTCGTGGGGATTTAGCTGGCATTTGTTCTACACATTTGGAGAAGAAAAATTAGGGTGTTCCCTAAAGATAATCTTCAATTTCACTTATAATAACCTGGAGGCAGTCAACTGTGGAACTGTGCTTTTTCCTGCAGAGCATGTAATTGAACGTACCTGTCATAGAATAATTTTCAACCTCTCCTGAGGGAAGAAGCATAGTGGGAATTTAATAGAACATTTAATACGAAATACAACCCAGTACCCAAGACGTTTGCTGTATTTCTTTTTAATGAGCAAATGTACTGAGAAGGTAACAAGGCACATGGTAAACTTCTTATAATAAATAAAGTAATGGTTACCAACAACAACAAAATAATCAAGAAGTGTCTCATTATCAAAATTTATACATATATTATATGTGAAATGCAATGTCAAAATAACACGTTAAAGGTCGCACCAAAAAGTAAAGGAATACCAAAAGTTGGCTGACTGCGAAAGTAGTAAATAGTCAGTTAACTAAAGACTGTATTTTTTCTTTATATGCCCTAGTAAACAATTTGACTTTACAAAAGTGATACTCGTTCTTGCTTCCTACCTTTGAGAGCTTCACTTTGCAAATTTTTGTTGTTCTCTGAACAGTGTTCATGTGCCCAGCTTTAACAAAAAACCAGAACGAATTCTGTCGTAAGGTATCACGCTGACATGTATATTGTTCATCAGCATGACTGGAAACTTTATAGCTACTTCAGCATTTGAAACAACACAGTAACTGATTAAAACAGCTCTCATTCTCCATGCAGACTAGGACTAGAAAGTGAATAACACTACCACGCTTGATTTTTTTCCCTATGTCATGACCTCAAATATTTTTTCTCTCTCCTTCCAGTTTCTTTAGTGAACCATCACAAATCTTAATCCTCTTGATGTCCACTCTTTTTCTTTACCTTATACTTTTTCCTTTCACGAATTTCTCTTCAATATATAAAGTCCCTTCAATTTCTGCCATCCTCAAGCAGTGGAACTATTGGGGTTTTTTTGTCTCTGATTCAGTTTTCTGGCACATAAAAATGGTGTCACTGACAAAGGTTTTTCAGTTGTTAGGACATTAATAACACTTCTCTCATAAGGATACTCTGGGTTTAATAAACGTTTTTAACATAGATACTATTAGTGTTTCTGTTGTCTAAATTCATGACATTCATAGATCTCAGGTTATTATCCTTGTCATCTGTGGCTGAAGTGATTCAAGAAGTTACAAAAAACATTGGGGAAAAAGGTGAATATGTTCACATGAGGTTTCATTTCCTTACGAAATCATGTATATATACTGTCAATCCCAGTTACCTTATCAGCTCTCATCAAAATCTCATCTAATTTCACTGAATTTTCTTTCCTACAACTTTGTTAAAGACCTTATCTTCCCAATTCTGCTCCCATGCTTAGCTGAAACTACTCATACAGCTCTCATGATTTCTTCCTCAGAAGTGGCCTCCTGTCCTCACGTCTTCTCCACATCAGCTGCATTTGACATTGCTATTTTGGATATATTGATTTGCCTTTGTTACAATGATTTTTCCATTTCAAGTACTTTTATCTTTTGAGGCTTCCCTGGTTTTCCTACTGCTAGGTGCTTATGGGAAATCTACAATGCCCGACTTTATCCTTCTCTTCTCTTTATACTTTCTCTGAATGATCTCACACAAAACACACAAATTTAATCTCTATTTCTATAGTCAAAAACTAAAAGGTTGGCCAAGTTATCTGACATCTCATTATGAATATCTAATTCATCAACTTTAGTTTAGTTGCGGACAGTTGTAAATTGATCTTAATTTTTGCTACCAAAATAAAACCAGTATCCTACTGTGGTTCATAAGTTTGGAATCATATTGTAGAGCATCCTATGTAGACTGAACCTGCATCTTGCAAGTGTTTTCTCACACAAGCTCTCATTTTTGCCCCACTTAAAACTATATTTATGTTCTTGACATATATCACCTCAACTTCCTGAACACGTTTCGGAACACTCTGGAAATATTATTTATGTAGTACATCACTTTGTCTCATTGCAGTCCTTCCCTGGCTTACCCTTCTTTATTGCATCAAGGAGTGACCCCTTATTCTCACTTAGCCTGCAACTCTCCCAGTTCTTACTGAGAGGTAACCTTCTGATAAGTGTATAATGCTATTCTCTTTCACACATACAACAGATTAACATACAAGTCCCATTGTGATTTCACCCATGCTGTCCTTTCAATCTAGGATGAATTTCTCAGAAACATCTGTAAAGTAATCCCAGTATTCTCCATCAGTTCTCTGCTCTGATATCTAGTGAGACCACTTTCTACCGTGATAGTTTTTATATTCAGGTATTGTCACACTGTTTCTTTCTGTTTCCCATGTTTGCATATACTTTTGTTGTCCTTTGTCATGTCACTTAGAGCTCATATGGCAAGGACTTCTTTTTGTTTTGCGTTTGTACAGTACCTAGAAGAATGGGCTCTCGGCCTAAGCCTAGAGTCCCAATGGCCTAAACGATTACTAACAACCACCAATTCCATTTTCTAGCAGCAGAGAAACCAAAGATTTAGGAATCTCAGATCCCATTCCAGACTCCAGAATGGAGTTGGTGTAATGAGCAGTGAATTGCCTGTTCATTTTCCCCAGCTTCTGTCTCACTTTTCCCCTTCCCATGAAACCCATTCTGATCATCCTGTTTCTCTTTGCCCAGGGAGTCCTGTATTCCCAAGGAGGTCAACCAAGTCCCTATTTCTTTACTTCCGTGTACCAGTAAGTGAAGTAGTATTCACTGGAGAAGGATATCAAGATCTGAGGCAAGAGAGGAAAAGCAAACTTTGATGAAACCTTCAGTTAGACAGTTTTTCTCTGCACTTCCACCACCACTCTTTATTAAATGGCCAGTTGTACCCACTAGAGAACAATTAGGCATTAAAAGTTCTCAAAGAGACCATGAACTGAAAATAGTTATTTCATTTAATGCATACATACACAGAAATGTTTGTTACTTATCCCTAATGCATTATTCTACTACATCTACCCATCTTCCTTCTATCACTAGGCAAGTCTATATTAAATTATCTGACCCCTGTCATTCATTCTTATCAATAACAACTTGTTATCATAACATATTATACCCTTACACACTATGCAGACTGGTGCTATTTATTCACCTTTTATACTCATGGCAGATAAATATTTATTTTGCAAATTAAGTGTTTTTGAGGCCACCCTGCTTTTATTACTTTGGCATAGCTTCTACTGGCACCAGGGAAAGAAAGTTTCCCAGAACCTAGTCAAGAAGTACTGGTACACTGTGAGTTAGTGCACAAGGTGACTGCTGCTGACATTCGGATAATGCATGAGGACAGATAGATTAAACTTTCTCTGTATTCTGTTTCTATAACCTTACAAGACTATAAACTGTGAAACACATAAGTATTTTGTTGGTATGTAACAGTCTTGTCTCCCCTCTTCTAGAATGGATGATGCTGAAGCTTGTTTCATTCTGAGTAGCCGCTGTGAGGTGGACCGGACAGCAGCTGTAAGTTTTGAAGAAGTAACTAAGAATGAATGTGCATGCTGTTTATACTGTTACTGCCCTTATTCTCTCTCAGGGACTGAGACTTCTTCTGCGACTACAAGATTAAAATTAGCTGATTTAGACAGAGATTTTGCATGTGGGATGAACTACTTGTCTCAGTTAAGATAATGAAAAGTTTCTATTGGATTCTATAAGGCCAGGATTTCACAAATTTATGAAACATGATCTAATAGCTCATTTCACATAACATATCTACTACCGCTTTTTTAGAAAATAAATTACATGACCAACCTACCTACCAAAGAAGTTAGGATTTTACAGCACATTTTAGTTATACGTTGAACTTTTTTTTAAAAAAAGTAAGAATTTATACATTCTTATAGGACTTAAAAAAAAAATTAAAAAAAAAGTACTGTAAGAATACAGTACTTTAAAAAAAACAATTTTCATGCTGAATAAAGTAAATTTTTATGAGTTCTCTCCTTTTTTATGGAACAATGGCAGAATACCATATCAGCACTATCATGGTACCTTATAGGTATATAGATACTTGGTCGCTAATCACTCCAAAGGGTAGTACTCTGTCAAAGGAGTTTTATTCAAGTTACCTGGACTAATATCAGTGTTTGCTCTAGATATCCAATTCAAAGAGTTATATTTATTAAATCAGAAAAGAGGTATCTATCAACTGACTGGTATTTCCATTCAGAACTACTGAAGTATTGAATTCAACTTTATAAATTAATTTGTGACTAATACCAAATAACCAATATGTCTGAGAGTATTTGACTATTTTTCACATTGGCTAATTTTAAATGTGAAAAGTGACAAGATTCTTTAAATAAGTTACTATGGTTTTGCCCATGCTACTAGTTATTTGCAGTCAGGTAAGTTACTGTCCACAAAGGAAGACTGCTAATACAAGCCACTACTCAGCATATCTGTCATAAAAGAATAAAACTATTTTAATATGAACTAGAACTCTTCAAACTAATGAAATTACCTACTGATCACAAATATCCAGGAAAAAAGTCCACTGAAGAAGGATTTATGAACACAACTTTAAATTCTTAACCATGAGATGCATGCTAAATTATTGCACACTTGCCTCTATTCAGTTCGATCTTGAACTCCAAAGCAAGATCAGAATAAGTCTGAATATTCACAAAGTTAAATTAAGATGCTTACAAATTGCCTAACAAGATCAAACTAGTGTTTATAATTCGGTAATTATGTTTTAAGCTATCTCAATTTAAAAATACTGTTTTACTGCTACATTATAAGAAATAACAATTATTTTTCTAAATGTTAAAAATAGATACAGTAAAACATGGGAAATGAGGGCTTTGCATTATGTATGTAGTATTTCTTAATATATTCTCTATCACTTGCTACAATTACTTCATCTGCCATCAAAACTTAGTTGTTTCCATACCTACACATACGGCTTATCAGAGAAGGAAGAACAAAAAAAGCAACATAAGCTGTAGCTAGAAAGAAGAAAGGATTATTTCCTTGCTAGGCAAATTAGCCCCAGAAGCAAATTTTATCAAAAAAACCTTAATTTTTTGCAGAGTATCAGCATGCTGTAAAAAATACTTTATTCAAAGCTAAAGACCCTGTGCTGGACCCATCACTTGCAGAAAGCCACTGAACTCCCTGAGAAATAAATCTGTGCTCCTACTATAATATTCAAACTTACAGAACTAAGAGCTTTTGATTTGATTAATCAGCAATAGACTCCTGAAAACACACTAGCGAAAGCCACTGAATTGGCAGCAAGTAATCCTAGAGTAGTCAAGTAAGGCAAGCACTCAGAATGTACTGTTTGGAAGTGACAGAGGTGCTAGGGTATTTAAGGATAAGAACAAGCAACAGTTCTTGCAAATACCTGGGAAAATACCAATAACTTCTGTGAGACTTAAAAATATCAAAAAGCCAAACTGCCTTTCCTAAATTAGCCATGAAGTTCAGAATAAATCAGCTACAACATCTCATTTCACAAAATATACTTGACAGTTGTGAAATGGTTAGAAATGAGAAATCCCATACAAGCAGAGCATGTGATTTATATTGCACTTGGTAGGTTTATTCAGCTTTAAGGACAGCTGCACCAACACAGGATTCACTTAGAGATAAGCTGTTCATCTCTGCTCATAACCTCTCCAGAATTTATACAAAGAAAGGGCAATTTTCAACTCTGCTGAAGTCTCCTACAGGGCAGACAGTGGATTCTACGTGGAGCTCATGGAGCTTCCATCCATTCTGGCCAGCAATATCTGGTTTTGGTTTCAGAGTTGTGGCCAGCTACAACTCTCTCCAGGCAGCCTTTCTGCCCTCAGGGACAGTGTGCCCCAGGAAATACCAAAATGGTTCGTGGCTCATTGCAGCTTCCAGTACAGACTATTATCAAATCTCATGTATCATTGTATCTGGAGCACACAAACAGGCAAATCTTACCAGAGACACAATCCTGTTACCTTCCTCTGCGACAGAATGCCCAGAGTGAAGGGTAATGCCCAGGGTGACTGGCTGGCTAGTCATAATGGTGCAGTATCTCAACTGTAGCAGTGATACTCTGACGGTCAATGTCATCTGAAGTTTTTAAACAAGATACCATCTTTCTCTGTTATTGTTGCTCAGATTTCCTTTTCACAGGGAATGCAATTATTTATACTGCAAGTAGAAAATAGGACAGCTGTTTTGGTTTTTTTTATTTTGTTTTATTTTACTGCCCCCTAGAGCTCTGAATTGAAATGGATTTAATTTCCTACGCTGTTCCAGCTCTACTCACTGCTGAGAACTTCAGTAATGTAGTACATTTGTTACAGTTTGTCACTGGGCTGAAGGAAGTTCAGTTGTCATCCCAGTATCAGTCTTTATAACTACAACTGATTTTTCCCCCTTCCTGTTCTTGAGAAGCTCACAAACTGTTAGGAGTGCCTTGGATCCTCCCCTACATCTGACAGCTGTCAAAATAAAAGTTAACAGATGCATTGAGGAGATTCCCGACCAGAACAGCTGTTGTTACTCATGTGATTTTTCAAAGTCCATGAGTGTTTTTATCTCCCCAGCTACAGTCTTCAGCAGAGGATCTACTCATTTGCCATGGATACCTCTGGCTGTTCATTCCTTGCTATTTCGTTAGTTAATAAGTTTTAGTGCCAAAGTCTGTGTTGCTTCTGATCCATGGATCGCAACTATAGCTCAGAAGAAAAGTACAATAACAGGTGACATGCAGTTACTTCATAAAAATTGTCAGTTGCTTCCTTTTTCACTTGGAGGAGTAGGAACTTCAACAGTCAGACCAAGAATTTGTCAGCTTTCCAAAGTCTCCTACCAGAAATTTTCTCTTCTCTGGCAAGACAAAGCTGTGCCAAATTCTGTTCTATCAAATGCTATTTTGACATCTCAGACCAAGATGTAAGCTGCTTATCTGCTATAGCAAGCAGGACAGACATCTGTTTCACTTCTGGAGGATGCAACTCTTGAACAAGTTGTACTTAAGTCTGGATGACAATTTTTTTTTTTTTTTGATTGGTGGGTATAGAACAGTAGTCTGTGCCACACCACAAAGTTAGCCAGTGACTTCAATGGGCTGCCTACATCAAATTGCTCCACAAAACTAAGGTGCCTGAAAATAGTACATCTGCTCTTTTAACCCAAGGAGGGATGGGAGCAGAAGTCTTTTTTGAATTATCCTATAGATAACTCATTAATAGGCTATATAAATATATGAAAGACCACTTCTACTGCTGACAGCTTTGTTCTGATGCTTTCTGAAAATTCAGAGATGGTTGAGTTCAAGCATGCACCTTTTTTTTTCCCCTTCCGTCAATCAAATTTTGTGACACTACTGTATCGGTAATCTAAGTTACACTGCCTTAATAACATCACAAGATGGATGCATTGCATGGGAAGATATAACTAATTTATCAAGTCATCTGTGGCAAGAAAAAAATTGAGTTAATAGAAATATTTTAAAATATGTATCTTAAATCAAGTCTTGCTTTCAGTTCTGATGATTTAAATTCTTGTTACACCCACTTTAAAACTTACGGCTCTTGATACATGAACTTAAATATCACCTCTATATTAATCACCATCGGTATCAGTAGTAATTTTTGATCACTGACTGCAATTCATTGTGAGGAAAGCACACAGAAGAGAATATATTTTTTCTCTCCTCTCTCAATGAAGCATATTTTTTATAATGTGAATAGAAGCATAATTTTGTTTCAGTTATCTCTGATTGTAGTATGTACATATATACATCCTTTGTATGGGGGAGAAATGCAAACATTTCTTAAAGTCACTGCAGTATAGTATAGAAATTGCTACATACGTAAAACTGAGAGCCACCAATACTATATGAAGAGACTGAATCTAATTAATCACTTAAAGCGCCTACCTGTATTTTCATTTCTCTCTCTGGAGTGCTTCTCCAGAGTGGAATTTGGGAGAGTAACTGAGTGAAAAAAACATGGAAACCCAAATAACCAGCTTTTGTACACAAACACATGTATATACCAAATGAAAAGAGAGAAAATGAAACAATAATTCAAGGTTATATTAACAGTACATACACACTGAGTTGATCTTATGAAGCTATATAGGGCATTTTATATATATTTTAT